CACTGTGAGACAATCCCATTATCTTTTAAATAATCAAGAAACTCATTAGTCAAATATTCACCTCCTCGATCTGATCGAAGAACTTTAATATTTCTACCAATTTGTTTCTCCACTTCATTTCTGAATTCTTTGAACTTTTCAAATACTTCAGATTTGTACCTCAATAGGTAAACATAACCATACCGTGAATAATCATCAGTGAAGGTTATGAAATAGTGATAGTTCCCCATTGCACTAACGTTTAGTGGTCCACAAACATCTGTATGGATCAAATCCAACAAACCTTTAGCTCGCTCCACTTGTCCAACAAATGGTGATTTAGTCATTTTACCTTTAAGACATGACTCACATGTAGGCAACCTATCCTCTCCCCTAAGGTCGAGTTTAGGTCCCAATTTGTGAATCCGTTTTTCGGATATATGACCTAATCTAGCATGCCAAATTGTGAATGAACTATGATTATCTAATTTCCTTTTATTTTGTTGAATGGTTAGGATGGGACTTTGTGGTGTAATGGTATACAACCCATTTGTCAAATTTCCAGAATAAATAAAAGTTGTGTCTTTGAAAATAGAACATTTTCCATTTTCAATGACAAACTTAAAACCTTCCTTATCCAATATTGGAATAGAAATAATGTTTTTTATTAAATCCGGAACATACAAACAGTTTGATAGACAAATCTTTACATCATTATTCAATGCTAGATAAACAGTCCCAATAGCTTTAGCAGCAACTCTTGCCCCATTGCCCATCCTTAGGATTGTTTCTTCACCATCTAGCATATTACTTCTTGCCATCATCTGCAAATCATTGCAAATATGTGAGCCACAGCCGGTATCCAATACCCAAGAAGAATCGTTAACAGACAAGTTAACTTCAACAAAATAAATACCTGAACTTTTCAGACTAGCAAGATACTCCTTGCAGTTCCTCTTCCAGTGCCCAGTTTTGCCACAATGAAAACATTCATGATCGGCCTGAGAATTAACCTTCTGTTTGTTCTTCCCTTTATCATTATATGCCTTCTTGTTGGGCTTATTGGGAACCTTTCCCTTCCTCTTCCTTTTCTTAGACTTAGTAGCCTTTGATCCGGAAGTGGATCCAACAAGAAGTACCGGCTTGTCCTTTTTAATGGTGGACTCAGCCGTCTTCAACATGTTTAATAATCCTGGAAGATCAGTTTCCATATTATGCATGTTGTAGTTAACGACAAAGTTATCGAATGACGCTGGCAGAGATTGCAACAATAAATCCACATAGAGTTCATTATCCATAATGACTCCAAGTGATTCGAGTCTTTCCACAAGAGCTATCATCTTCAGTCCATGATCATGAACTGAAGAGCCCTCGGTCATACGACACCTGAAAAGCTCTTTAGATATCTGATATCTAATTTGTCGCGTCCGATCACCATACAACTCTTGCAGGTGAGTTAGGATTTCAGAAGCATTATTCAGTAATTCGTTCTGTCTCTGTAGCTCATTAGACATTGATGCTAGCATGTAGCACCGAGCTTGGAGATTGTCATCAACATGACGCAAGTAGGCTCCATACTCTTCAGCAGTCTGATCCTCCGGTGGAGGAGGAGGAGCTGTTTCCAAAACATACTCTCGCTTCTCAGACTGAAGAACAATCTTTAGGTTCCTCAACCAATCATTGAAGTTGGGACCAGTTAATTTATTATGATCAAGGATACTCGCGATTGGATTCTTAGCCATTTTAGTAGTTTGATCTACAAAAATAACAAACGAAGCAGAAAATAATTAGACTATGGAATTTATATTCATTTAATATTAGGTCTTTAACATTAAATGTCTCCCACTAATTTAATTAGAACCTCATTATAATTATGAAAATCATTATTTTCATAGTGGGCTTGAAGTCCAATAAAAATATTTCATGTCCCAATTTTATGATGCCACCATGAAACAATTTTATCGGTAGTCAACTTTTTGACAATTGTATCTCTATACAACCTTCAAGATGTTTTGCCTCACCTTTCCTTATATACCTCAATTTTATGACTCCATATATATTACTCGGTGTCAAATCAAACCCATCAAAACTTTCATGATAACGGCCCACCAGAGTGTCCCACGACTCATGGCCAACACAAAGAGGAATCCGTCTCACGAATATCAATATATTTAATAGAGTTCACAGCTTTCGACATAGAATCATCCCACGACTCGTGGCCAATGATAAAACATCGTAGCATCTCATGTCATCTACTTTTGATGGAAGGCCTGGATTAATAAGTTCCAACTTATTTTTATCCATTATTGATTTGATATGGAATTAATCAAATTAATCCGTTTGGGTTCCTTGATCTCATCGATTACCATCTTTACGTTTATTTACCAGTTTCAGTCATCTAATGAAACGAAAGCGTAAATAAACCTAACATACATCTAATGCATGGTGGGATGATCATGTCCTTTCCTATTCGATCCATTCGAGCCAAAATGGATCTATGCATATGTACGTGATAAAACAAATAGTAGAACTACTTCTATTACATTTATTCTATCTACCCGTACAAGCACAGGCCTTCGAGATTACAACTTGTAAAATTACCCACACATGCGTGGGCCTTTGTCATCGAACGGTCTCCACCTTGATCTAATCTCTAACGATACAAAATTTAAAATTTTACAAATTTCATCTCAAGAGACTCGCAGGTCTCGATAAATTACATTTCTTCAATCATATTGAAAACATAATTAAACATCCATTCATTCATTCAATCATATTGAAAATGAAAACATCCATTCAAACATAATGAATATGAGGCTCATGATCATCCCTAAAACATTCATCTAATGAAATGAACATAAAATATCAATTTATGAGTCACACGACTCGTGTGAGGGTCACACGACCCGTGTGATCTTATCACACGACTCGTGTGAAAAATACGAATTGAAAATCAAAATTTTTCCCAGACTCACACGACTCGTGTGGCTCGTCACACGACTCGTGTGAGCTCACACGACTCGTGTGACAAGGTCACACGACTCGTGTGAAAATCACGAAGCTAAAATCAAAATTTTTCTTCATGCCACACGACTCGTGTGACAAGGTCACACGACTCGTGTGGCTTAAAAACGATTTTTAATTTTATAATTAATATTTTTATCATATAAAAAATTAATTATATTGCTTATCTCATAAGTCTTAACAAATCAAAATCTGTTTTAAAGACGATAACCGTGGCTCTGATACCACTGTTGGGTTCGATAGTACCGTACGGGCTGTACGCAGCGGAATTTAAAATTTTTAAAGTAAGTATTTATCGTATAAATACAACACCCGTACATACTAATTGCGAATTAACTGATCGTCATCTTTAAAACATGCATCATATACAAATTTTGATTTGTTACTATAAAGTAAATACTAGTAAAAATATTTACCGAATGTCTTGAACTCCTTCACTATTGATGATGGATGAGGGAATCGGTTCCCGGTTGTAACTTCAACGACTTGAGGTTACTCGCTAGAGGAATCCAAGTGTCTTCCCTCTAAACGTATCCACCCTATGAAGCCCGGTTCCGACGACTTTCCTTCGCTAGTAGAAAAGACTCGGTTTTCTTGTATAGGAATATTTATGAATTTTATTTGGGAATTTTAAGAACTCTTTCTTGAAGTTTTATGAAGAACACTTTCTTCTCTTTCTAACACTTAGAAATTTAGGATCAAAAACTTCACTTAAATGCAAAACCATTTTGCACATATTTATACTAAACATTTTAGCATAAAATAATCAACATTTAGTAATATTAAATAAAATCAAATTTTATTTAAATAGTATTTACTAACTTTTGACTTTGAAAATAATAAGATATGTTAAGTAGTTCAAACAACCATCAACAACCATTTTATTATAATCATATTTATTATTTTAATCCTTAAATCATATTTAAAGATATAAATAATAATTGGATAATAAATCTTGAGAATCTTTCTCAAGACTTTATTATTATATCATTTTCCCAATATTATAATAATCATATTATTATTATTTTGGATTTTTGAAATTTAAAATCCTATTTTAAAATTCAACTTTATTAATTTAGTAATTACCTTAATTACTAAAGTAATATCCAAAATGTAATTAATCAATCTTATTGATTAATATATTCCTTTAATTGATATCTAATCAAATTAGATATTTATCAATTAATTCTAACCATTAGAAATACAATCTTTACCTTTGTTCATAATTAGTGTGACCTTTTAGGTTCACCTTAATACTAGTAGTGGGTTTACAACACTTTGTAATTTGAGTTAAATCTTATTAACTCTTATTCATGAATTAACCCTTTAATTTATGAACCCACATATCATGGTAACACCTAGCAAGTAGCATGAATCTAGTATTAAGTGAATAGCGAGTAAACCTATTCCGATTACAACTCCATACATGTAAAATCCTTTCGACATCTAATTTCCCGATTAAGTCTTGGGTATGATTTTGTCGAAACCCAAATTGACTTAATAACTATGATTCTATTTCATGTTTATTAACCCGGTTATGAATCACTATTCATCTCTGCCTTGGCCAAGGACTTTGGATTAATAACTATGAAACACATAGGAAATTCACTTATCTTCATAAGTGTCGAATCCTTTATTGGCCACTAACAAACTTCCATACATATTAACATAATACCCAACTTATCCCTTTAAACGATAGTGCTAGCTACCAAAAGGATAAATCAAAGTAGAATGTAATATGCACAAAGTTACCATTGTGCCTCAAGTCTTAGGATTAGTCATGTACTATTGTAACATGAAAATTCTTATTCGACTGAATAAATTCTTCATTAAGAATTTTCATACGGTCATGTTCAGTGAACTTGTTCTCTAACAAGCACCCACATAAATGTACTTACGTCTTACGCTAATGTTGATGGAATGCAACATTCTTGTCCAACAAGCATACAAACTATGTGCAAGTCTTTTATGGATTATTCGATATCCCATCTCGAAACATCCATCGACTTGGAACTGTATTTAAGATCACGGCTTTCAAGGTATGTTCCATGATCACCATCTCTATGCGCAACCATACCTTATAACCATAAGTGATCTAGGGATTTTATCTTAAGTGCAATTATAAGATAAATGCTTTCTCTTAAGATAAAGAAATGCCTTATTCATAATATAATTCCAATAGACTGTATTTACAAGTAGAATACGTCCAATTAGATTGGAACGCCGGGTACCCTACTCTAACAGTTATCGGTCGGAGCCTTGAGTTTTGCACAGAGACAATGTCTGTTCTGTGCAATCGAGTTTTATTGAGAGTATGAGCATATTGGAAATGTACCGACTATATGGGGTATCGACGTCTCTGATGGAGACGCACGGTCCGTGATGGAATCGTGAGCAAGCTTTCAGTGTGACCTGGGCACGAGATTTAAGCTTGGCGTCACGTATCCACATTGATGGTTGGGCAGTCGGAGCACGCTAGCAATACACCGGACGACCTGTTGGGGCCTTGTGTGTTGTTAGGTACGTTGCGAAAGGGTTGATACACATGGGTATAGGCCAAGCCGGACTAGGTCCCTTGCAAGAGGATGTACGCCTGAGCACATACAGGATGGATTGCCCTCCTTGCAAGAAGGTAAGCATATAAGCATAGGGCGAGTTGGATTGGGTTCTGTATGTGGGTGTATGCCATTTTGAGTTTAGGGCGATAAGTCAGGCGAGCGAGGTGGATTTTCAGAGGGGATATCCGGACCTCGTGGTTGGAAATTCTCGCTTGAGTCTGTCGTTTCCTTTGATTGCGTATTCTTTAGTATTTCCGAGGACGCAAATATTTTAAGGAGGATAGAATGTAACGCACCGTTCTTTTATTAGAATTCCTGGATTTTATATAATTATTTATTTGTTCGCGTCACTTTTATTTTAGTCGTAGTGCTTGACAATTTTTTCCCTTTAAATCTTATTAGAATTAAATAGATACCCTCATCTATTTCATTTTTTAAATTAAATCACTTAATCGAAAGTTTATATTTTAGAGGATGTCCTCGTCTTCTTAATTAATATTTTGTGCTCTCCGCTTATTTGAATTACTCCTAAGTGCTTAAATTGTTATTGTTTTGCGTAAGTGTACTTATTGTTTATTTTATTTTATTTTCCCTAAGTTATTATTGGGCCTAAGTGTATTTACTTGTTCTTGTGTTTATTTTATTTTGCTAAGTGTTTGCCTAGTATCTAGTAAGTCCGACCAAATTAAAAATCAAGCTTTTGTCGGCCCATTTGTGCCTTGACCCAATAGCTCAAGCCCAACAAGGAATGAGACCAGATCAATACTCGATCGAATTTCCCCTCCTCTCGGATTTTCACTCCTTCCTTTCAACAGCTCATCCCCCACCATCGGAGACCACAACGCCCTAACCCAACTATCTCCATGGAATCCGGCTTCCGTACCATAATACTCCCATTACATAAACAGCACAAACGCCCATCGTCATCCTCAATTTGTTCTCCTGCAAAAATTCCCAAACCCCTCCCGCCGCTGCCCTCGATCCACCGTTGACAGCCGGCCCGGTGACGAGAAAATCCCAGTGTTTCAACGATTTTCGTTGAGTTCGAGCCCTAATCTCCAGTCACGATAAGATAAGACACCCGACGACAAGATGAACACGCGACAGGGGGAAGGTAGCCGCGGCAGGAACCAACTTCTGAGGACCGCGCCATTCATGGCAAGGCGATTTCTTGCGAGGCTGACGGGCTACTTGGCAGAGGAACAACCACGAGGCCGTTTGTTATAGAAACGCGAGCCACCAGATTTTCCGGCGAGAGCAACAGACCGGGCCTCGAACGTGAGAGTAGGCCCTCTAATCCCGACTGAAAACAATCTTTTCCGGCGGAAGCACTCAACTGGGCAGAGTCGAGGGCTCCATTTGGAGACTGTTCGGGGACGGACCTCGATCCCTGCCCTGGAACCGAGCCACCGGAGAACCACCAGTTGTCGGCTGGTCGAGCAGCCCTTTTGACCGCGGTTGGAGCTAGTTTTCGAGCACACCCAGATGAGCCTTATTCGCGGCCGACAGTTGCGACGCAAAGCCGAGATCGGGCAGCAGATTCCGGCAATTTGGCGAGGCCATCCAGCAGCCGAAAAGAACCCTGACCGAGATCCAGCGTCCGTGACCAGACACGAGCCACCGACGGCCGAGTAGTCCGATTTTTCGACGGCGGCAGACCCGAGCCCGGTAGTTCACCGTCTGAGAGCAGACCCCTTTTTCTGCGGCTGAAAGAGGCTAGGCCTTCACGGTGAGCAGAGTCGTCGGTCCCGATAGAGAGCTGAGAGCAGCGGTCGAGAGCTATAGCAAACTGAGCCCTTTTCCTTGTTTCTTTTTTTTTTTCTGTGCCGAAAGAGATATCGAGGAGTCAAGCCCTCGCCCTTGTTTGAACGTGCACTCGCAATCATGCTCGTATCAGGTGGGTGTTAGATAAACTTACCATGTATGTTAATTTCTATAAATGCTTGGCTTGATGATCTAGGTATGCATGTGAACCGGTAGTCTATGAGGCCTAACTCTAGCCTTTAGAGAGCTTAGTCCGTGATGTTTCATGTGCGGTTGCTCCTGTCCTTTTCATGGGGACGGCTTGTATCCTATCTTTTTTCGAGATTGATAGGTTAGGTGTGATCACATGAGCGTGGCTGTGTTTAGGGAGGGTAGACTAGTCGATTTGCTTACATACTGCGACCATGATTTTAAGTCTTTATATTGATTATACTGTATGGTATTCCCACGGTGAGCTAGTTGTTTGCTCACTCCCACTATTAACCATCTTTTCAGGTTGAGCTGGTGGCCGTGGCAAAAGACGAGCGAGGCGGGGTCAAATTTATTTGCTGTTTTGTTATGTTAATTCTTTCGCCTGTTTATTATTATTGATTTATTTGTCAGACATGTTAGATTAATGAGATTGGAGACTGAATTATGTATTCGGATATTTCGTATGTTATTATGAATCGGTTATTCTTATGTTGAAATTTATTTGAGATTATTATCATGTAGAGACGGAATAATTGTTTCTGGGACTTTTAACATGCTTGGGATATATGGTACTTGAATATTATTTGGAATCTGATCTGATTTGAATATTATTATTATGTTTACCTGGATTTGGATATACCGCATGATGGAATAAATGTTGTTGACATGAGATATTTGTTTCGAGATGGTTGTGCCCCGATGTTTAAGGGATTGACTTAAACCGTTATTATGTGGATAATTGAGTAGCGTCCGTTAATTAAGTTTTTAATTTAGTTTTTTCGAAAATTAACTATGATATTTGGAAAAATAAAGATTTATTTTTCACTTAAAAATAACGGGGCGTTACACTTACGCTAGAGTAAGTCGATTTTATCATCTATTGTATTCATGTTTTGAGGCCGTTGGGCTTTGTTGTTTACTCGGTAGAATTTACAATTATTTGCAACAGACGCTCTGCCTTGCCAAACATGATGATGGAAATGATTATCAGAGCTTCTCCACAGTATAAGAAGATCCTGGCTGAGCTGAAGAAAAAGGAAGCTGATGAAAAGAAAAGGCAAAGGACACTGATGAAGTTGAATTTGTTCCTGATGTTTAATATCTGAGTATGGATTTTGTGTTGCTGCTTTAAGCTAGCTGAGAGTTGGATGTTGCACTCTTGTAAGTGTTGAGACAACAAAGCAGCTGCAGCTGGTATTTTGGGTTGCTCACTATTTTCTTTATCATGCTTTAAAACATGTTGTTTGGATATTGATCCGACATCTGCGGTTTCTTTATTTATATCTTGATAGCATGTTTATGAATTGTTTGTGTATTATGAATCACAGTAAGAATGTGAGTTTATGTTATAACAAATAGAAAAGGACCAAAAGAAGAATAATGTTATGTTACCAGAAGTCGATAGAAAACAAAGTTATTGTAAATGGAGATGATTCAGGATCGAACAATGAATTTTAATGAATAAAAGCAAACACAAGTAGAGATTTTGAAAAGTATGGAGTGAGGTTGGCGAATCAGATTATCCAACGCTTGGGGATGGATCCTGATTATGATATGAAAGTCCACTGGTAATATAAATGGATTTTGTTATTGGACAGCTTCGGATTGTGGTGGACATGTGCACTGTTGCTCTTACGATGATAAGCTGGCGTAGTTAACCTGTGATATCGAGGTTTGGGTTTCGGCCAAAATTTTTCTAAATTGCTTCTCGTTACTGCTTTACGATTGTGGGACGACCAATTTGGATATCAATGCAGAAAGTTAGGTTTCTATTTTGGAGAAATACACATGTAACGTTACTAATTGGAAAATTAATATAACCATGATGATTATTTTGTTTCTAGCAAGAGTCAATTTTTTAATTCTCTGTCAGGTCTTTATTAATAATGTATCTTTTCTGGTTGATTGAGAAAAGCGTAAAAGTGACAAATCAGGTAACATTACTTGTTTCCAAATGCTCACGCTGGAAGCACCTCCGGCGTTGAGTTTTTGCAGTATTCTCGCGGTCTAGCAACGGTTCGAAGGCGATTCAAACAGATCTGAGCTCCTTACCACCGGTTCACTCCAGATCCGAGAGTAGACCCATCATATTGGCGCCGTCTGTGGGGAGCTCTTGAAGGAATTAAGTGCTTTACACCTAGCTCCGATATGTTTCTGATGGCTGAGAAGGAGGGCTTGCAGAGGAACTTGAATGAGGAGTTCAGGGGAGCTTGGACAGACGGAGACCACCACCTCTCTCTACTCCTCGACCTCTGGTGGTGCAGATGCTGGGACTACCACCATTTGGGGGACTTCCGCCGCCGGGGATGAATCTGAGTTGAGAGACGCCCATTACTCCACCCGGGATGAAGGTGCCAGTGTTGACCCAAGTAGGAACAAGTCAAAACCCTAATACAAATGTTAGAGAGAAGGAATTAACGGAGATGACTCGACGCGAGGGAAAGCAGATCCAGGAGGTGCCGGAGCAGACACAAACACAACCCCACGTCGAGGAGCAGACTCTGATGATGACAAGGAGCGAGATAGAAAAGATGATCGCTGAAGCTGTGGCTGCCCAGATGAAGCAAGTGGCACAGGTCGAGCAGAATCCACGAGTCGAGCAGAACCCGCGGGTCGAGCAACAGCCTCGTATTGAGCAGCAGGCCCAATCAAACGTGCAGCAAAACAGGCGGGCAGACGAGGAGGAGTCCTCCATTCGAACTGTCAATCCGCAAGCGAGAGACGCAACATTGGAGCAGTTGCTGGCCCAGGTCCGCAATTTGCAGGCTCGAGTCGGGGGAAGAAAGAGTAGAGGAGCAAAGGAACATCTATTCTCACAGCAAATCCTGAGAGCTGACTTACCTAAAGGCTTCAGGGAGTTGAACATATGGTACGATGGCTCCACTGACCCGTCTCGACATCTGAGGAGTTTTGAGAACATGGCAGTGCTTCACCGCTACAGTGACCCAGTGCAATGTCGCGCTTTCTTGACGACTCTGTCAGGGTCGGCCCAGGACTGGTTTCACCAACTACTAGCTGGGTCGATTAAGGACTTTGATGGCTTCAGCTCGAGTTTTCTCAACCAGTTTGCAAGTGTGAGGGTGCAGGAGAAGTCCTACCTCCGTTGATTAGCATGCAGTAGAAGAAGGCCAAGTCGCTGCGAGAATATGTGGCAAGGTTTACAAAGGCGTGTCGAGTGCCCGACGGCGACAGAGGAAATCAAATCAGGAGGACTGACGAGGGGACTACTACCAGGGTTATGTAAGAACTCTTTAGCCAAACGACCTGGTAGGAGTTTCGACAACGTGTTGGGAAGATGTGCGATGTACATGAATATCGAAGAAGCAGAAGTCGACTACCAGCAATGCAACACCCCGCTAACTAGGGCCAATTTTTCGCAAATTTAAACTCTTTCGAGAACTGCTTATAACTTTTTCAAAATCATTTGCAAACTATCTCGGGATCCTGCTAAGAACTTTTCTGCTTAAAAACCCGTTTCTTTAACCTAGGTCTAACGTCTAGTTTAGACATAAAGAAATCAGGTTTATATTTTCAACGAATCATGCATATTAGTTTGGACCCGTTCGTACTGGCGAACCGGGTAAAATTATTTAAGTCTGGAAATAAAGTCATGCATGTTTGTAAGTAAACACAACATAGCGGAAGTCTAAAAGTGCGTGGATTTATTTAGTTTACAAAACAGCTTAAACAAATGTCTCGGGAACAACATTCGTGCGGAACTCACGACCACCACCACCACAGCTCGACTCACGCCTGCACGCCGACCCTGCCATCTGGAAATATAAAGTGGGGGTGAGTACGGTCCACTTGTACTCCATAAAAACCCATTCTAAAGTAAACAACAATATTAATAATGATATCACAGACTAGTATATATAAGTAAACTGAAACTCCTGGAACTCTCTGGTCGGTAACTCCCGGAACTCTCTGGCCGGTAACCGTGTGCACACTCTGATGGTATAACTAGGGCAAACTGGGCCACCACCAGAACTTAGGGAAGGCAAACTTGGCCTTAACCCAATGTGGATAAAACTCATATACATACCTGAACGTGATATCGACTATTAAACTCAATGTATAACCTAGACTGGGTCCCCACCTGATCGGTTTTGAAAATGAGTAAGTGCGGCTGTGCTGGTAGCTGACTCCTCAAGCTACATAAAAATATAAGCAAACAAATATACTAAGTACCATGCTCGTCATATGCTCAAATATATACTAGGATGCTCTACTCTATCAAGTTACTCATCCGGATATAAAGGAACGCTCTACGGGTTCACTGAAATAATTTTAAGTCCGGAAATTATACTGCTATGCTTAACTGATCTGGTTTGGCTCGGAAAGATACTTAAATTTCGAAATAAGACTCGGACCGAAAATCACGAACTAAAATTGACTCGAACTGCCGGCTAAACCGGTCGGTTCGCTCACTAACTGAACCGGGTCGGGCTGAACCGGACCGGGTCGGACCGCCGGTTCACTTTGGATCGGGTGGTCATGGGCTGCATGGACTGGCCGGGCTTGGTCCCGTGCCGGGCCTGCTGGGGCCCTGGCACGGCGCTGGGCACGAGCTGGGTGCGACCGGCCTCGGTGCTAGGCGCTGCTGGGCGCGGGCGGTGCGGCTGGCACGGGCCCT